GACAGAATCTTCTTCATCAATTTCTTAAGATAGCAATAAATTTTGTTAAGGTCTTATGGAATCCATTCAATTCCAAAGAACTTTAAATCAATCAATTTTCTGACGTTTAGAAAACGTGAATATCTCTATGCTTCGAGATTCTCGGTGTGATGTATGGAAAGGGATATTGAAATTAGAGAGAGAGTTTATGTCGATCGCCGGTATATGAATCCAATCAATAGATTGAAGCATTATGTCACCATTCGTTTACTGTTTTTCCTAATCGGTACGTTGTTTGATAGCTAGATCCGATTAAAGGGTGTTATAGTGTTTTTACTTGAAGTTGAAGAAGATGAGTTGGACAGTGGAATGGAGATTTTGTTTGTAATATGTCTTGTCCTTACCATTGAAAAGGAAATTACGTTTTTTTGGTTTATGGATTTATCAGAGTTTTTTTTTACCAACGTTCTTGACTTCTTGTGATGGTGAATCTAATGGAGTTGTTGATGAAACTATTTCTAATATACTAGCATTTACACACAACTGAACAAAAAATTACCATCCATATGCCTTCATCCATACATGGCCTTCCAAAAAAAATTCACTATAAACTTGGTCGAATTATTATGGATAGGTTATTATTGGTAACCATAAACCCCCGACCATTAAACTAAAACGTTTTTAGCATTATAATGCATCCTTTTTTGTATTTCAAACACCATCGTCAATTCCTAATAAAATATTTGATCATTACTAAATAGACAAAGTATTACAACATGAAGAAACAAATTAAGTAAACAAATAACCACAAATTGAGCAAACATATGTGAACAAATGAGATTGGTTTTCCTTCTTTAATAGAAAACGTAAGAGAAAGATCATTCACAATATAACATCTTTTGTAAGAATGAAATTGGTCTTCACTTTTTTACATGAAATTATCGTCCATCTAATCATGGCCAACCTCGTCATCCCGCAAAGCTCAAACATGTGGTCATCATATTTTGTTAATCATCCTATCCACCACGCAATGTCAATCTGAATATGACTAACATCAAACAAAGAATAACTCATGAAAGTTAGCTAAAGAATACAATTAAATCCAGAGTCAAACCGCAACTATATTGATTCAGCGCATCTTTAGTCAAAGCCGTTATAGTTGTTGTCCTATTTTGGGAGAATGTTGAGATCGTGATATC